AGAAACTTCCATTAGATTTCATTGCCTGTTCAATGATGACTCAACAATCCGCTTATGTGTTGCTCATACATAGTTCGCATCTACTTGATAATTTCTTTATTTGCAGACACTATACTCCAGTTCTTCACCCTTTCTTTGCAGCGTCAAGTGATGCCTGGGACGCATAATTTTTAACAGGGTCACAACCTGACTCTCAATTCACTCAATTCTGCACCCAAATGCATGGGAGATGAAATAAAAACTACACCGAAGATGGTTTTTGATTATAAGACGTAGTATAACCATGTTCCTAACGGATTTGCACACCAATGGGAGACTCGGATATCTTTTTTTCCACCTACACTTTTCATATTCAAAAGGGTTTATTGGCATTGATGGTTGTATTGTGGAACCCCACAAACATTATCTTTTTGTTGCCCATGGGCCGATTGATGTAGGGATGATTTCCAATTTTCCGATTGTTGGGGATGATCTAATAATGGGGGCTATTCTTTTCGATAGACCCTGAAATATCACCTAGGCTACATTCTAAAGAACCAAGTTACTGCTTGGACAAAATATTTGGAGACATACATAAGATTGGCAAACTCTGAGGTTTTTGATGCATGACACTGTTTTTTTTTTTTTTTTGTTTTATCTTGTATTAGCTTAAGGGTACATTATTTGCTCTTTTTCTAAGTGTATTTCCTTTTCCCACCTAGACTTAGCCATTTATTGTGCATCACATAAGTTTTTGGCCCTATAAACCCTATTCTTAGCTAACTTATTTGAAGGTTTTCTCAAAATGTCTGACAAATTTATCCGCGGGACTAGAACCGATATTGTTACGATTTTTGGTTTCTCGAACTCTAGTTTCGGTTATATATTCATCTTTCTTTCTATGGGCCACCCCAAACTCATGGAAATCGCATAAAAATGTTTCTCATTTTCTTTATTTTTTCATCGAATAAAAAATATTATAAACATATGAAAAAACACAATTAAGGAAATCATAGCTTACTCGTGAAGGAATAAACATTACTATTCCTATAAACTCTTACTTGAGCATGGTCATTGGCCTATATGGGTAGCCGCAACGATTGACTTTCGCTATGACCCCACTGACTCTTATTATATGATTTTAACCATTCTAATTTTTTATTTTTTTTTGTTTAGGCTTGTGACCTTGATCCCTATTCATATGTAAGAAAGTACATAACCAAAAAATAAATTTGAAAGTAGTTGTATATTAGCATCAACTCTTTACCCACCAATTTGATTGTTGTTAAGGTATTCCATTAAAAGTTTAAGGGTGTGTTCTTTGATGATTTTTACTCCTATATTATTATTCATCTAATTTTTTTCTTAAAAATATAAAATTAAATATCTCTTTTATTTCTATATTAGGCTAAAATTCAAGTTTACATTCAAACCTTATATCAACATCTATTTATATCATATTATATAATTATTCAAATTCAAAATTTTTACTATTCAAATCCTAAATACAAAATTCAAACCATCAAAAGAGCACAACAAAATTTTTTGCCCAATATATTTTATGGACACGAATTCCAAATATTTTATCTTTTCACATAAATAAAAATTTAACACAATATAATTTTCTTATATTATCAATACAAAGTCAAAATACTTTAATTTTTCAAGTGCGCTTTTAGTAAATCCATCTATAATAACAAATTCATCCGTACACCACCTACCATCTCTTTTTAATATTTACAATATATTTTTTTAGAAAATAGCTTCTTTCTCCTTTCTATATACTATGTGTCTTTTAATATGCATGAAATGATTTCTTCCAACCTGACTCTAAATATGACGCTAAAAATTGGCGTTGCTCCCTTTCCCTATTTTTTATTTTTACATATTGATCCTTTTATTTATTTTTTACTTTTTTAAGTTAATATGAATTGTAAAATATAAAAAGTAGTTTAAAATAATATATAAAATAATATATTTGAAGAATATTTTTTCAAGAGTAAAAAATAAAATTTTAGATTAGAATAAAGATAATGTAGCAATTTTATTGTTAGAATTAAAATAATATGATAGTTATATTTTTTAGGTAAAACTACTTAAATAATGTCTGGGTTGGATATGGACTAACTAACCCATTACTATTTTTATAGCAGCTACATTAGAAATGTTAGTTGATTTATTTCATCTATAAACTTCACCTTTTACTTTAAAAAATATATACTCTATGTATTCATTTTTATATTATTTTATATAATTTTTCATATTTATAAATTACACCAAACTTTAAAATTATATATCATTTATCAAAAAAATAAAATTATACATTTGTTTTTGTTTTGTTTTGTCAAATAAATAAATAAAACACATTTCAACAAAAAAAAAATAATATATTATATACACTTATTATTTTTATATTATCTTTACAGTTTCCTATAGTTTATATAAAAAAAATCCTTTAAACCATTTCATAAAACAAACAAACCCCATTATTTAAAAAAAATAAAATTACATATCAATTTAAAATATAAAATTATATATCAAATTTTTTACAAAATTAAACAATACATTTAAAAATACATAAAAATACTCAATCCAAAAAATATAGGGTGTGTTTCTTTAGGCCGATTTAGAGAAAATTGAATTGGGTTTAAGTTTAATTTTTATTTGAATTTTAAGATAAGTTTGAGGTTTTGTGTATCTTTTGTGTGTAGGTTTGGTTTGGATTTGAAAGTTTTGATATGTATTGATTTGATTTGTAATAAATATAATGTTGTTATTCGATATTCCTGAACGTTAGGGTGATATGCACAGATTTCCAACCAAATAATTAGTGCGGATAAAATTCAAAGGTTAAGAATATAAAGAAGAAATATATACTAAGAATTAAAAGAAAAATTGCTCAATCGGTGAAGTAGGCGCAGATCGCAACCACTCATTCGCCAACTCCAAGTTGTCCTACGAGGTAACCCACGAAGGTGTCGATTGCGATGGTTCCTAACACGAAATAACCCAAGAACCCTAGAGTGTTCCTCGCACACGCAGTGTATCAGGACAAAAGAATAACGAGAAAAGTCGATAGACATAGGCAGTAAGTTCGTCGGTCACAGAACAAAATATCGAACTGGTTCACACTTTCTCCTAAAACCCAAAACCCATATATATAGAGGAGAATTGGATGGATAGATCCCAAAAGAGAAGGAAACAACCCCACCTTATCAACGGCCAGACGGACTCGATCGATCAAGAAGAAATAGGGATAGCACCGAGAGTGACGGAACAGATTTATGGAGGATTCAAATTCGAACATAATGGGAATAGAGTGGATCGGCTCTGATTTAAGGAGAGAAATTAAAAGTCAAACAAACCGGGTCGGTGCGGGTTCGGGTCGGACATGGTTGGCTCAGGTCGGATCGGATCGGATCTGGGTCGAGGCTGAAACACACCAACAATCTCCACCTTGTTTCGGGTCGACCCTCGTGGTTACATTGAAGGGCAATCGGGAGTGGGAACATGCTATCATCATCACCATTATTCCTGCAATCTCAACACAAAGTCAATCCTGTAGAGCATATATTAATCACAAAAAAAACAATACATGCTATCAATGAAAAATAAACACGGTTCCAATCAAATGTATCAAAATTTAACACATTTAAACATGACTGAAACTTAAAACAGACAACCATTTGGTTCCCATATCAGTAGGGTTAAATTGAGAGGGTATCTTTTCAAGTTTAACTAACCCTTTTGCAACTATGTCGGCTATAAAATGAAACCTAACGTCTATGTGTTTGGTTCTATCATGAAAATTAGGGTTTTTGCATAATTGGAGTCCAAACTGACTATCAGAATAGACTGTCACAGTGTCATTCAGTATTTCAATTTCAGAAAGCAAACATTTCAGCCACATCGCTTCGTTTAAAGTCTCAGTTATTGCAATATATTCTGATTCAGTAGTAGATAGAGCAATAATATGTTGGAGTTGGGATTTCCAACTTATACATGAGCCACACAAAGTAAACACATAAGATGTTGTAGATTTCCTACCGTTTCTATTGTTCCCATAATTAGAATCCACATAACCTCTCAATTTTACTTCTTAACACATTTTCCAAAATTTAGCCCTAGGTTACTAGAACCACACAAATATCTAAGTAACTATTTGACTGCATTCCAATGCTCAGTTCCAAGATTAGACATAAAATGACTCAAACAACTCATAAAATATGCAATATCAAGTCTTTGTGCAAATCATCAAGTACATCACAGAGTCTATAGCATTCGAATATGATACATTTTTCATGTAATTCATATCAGATTCAGACTTAGGACATTGATATTTGCTTAGCACAAAATAAAAAGCTAGAGGCACATTAGTTGACTTTGCATTAGACATACAAAATCGTTTCAGGACTTTCTCAATATATGCAGATTGATTTAACAAAAATGTAAAAACAACCCTATCTCTAATAAAGTTCATACGAAGAATTTTCTTCACAACTTCCAATGTGGGACTTGGATTTGCACTCCAACAATTCTCCCCTTAAACCAAGGACCAGTGTCACAAACTGACATTTCTGCCCAGGTTCTCGGCCATTGTCCGTCCCATGTGTCCAAGCCCCGGTCCTGTATAACTAATCAACGATATATTGCAGGGAGGAGCATGCTGAGGGCAACATATGGGCCTTCCATGCCCACCTTGCACTGCCTATCAAAGGGACCCACTGTCTGACAACCACAATTATCGGGACTGACCCAAGAGACTTTCGACACAAGGCACATCTACAAGTCACGATGGCGAGTCCACCACCACCACCAATGCCCAATTCTATCCAATCCACTTCACAATCTAACCGGACTCTGATACTATTGTTGTTATTCTCGATCTTTGCAGAATTTGTACAAACTACCCCAAGTTAGAAAGATCGATTTTAATAGCGTATCAGTCCCATCGGTTATAGACTTATAGGTGTACAGTGGTCGATGCACAGGGAAATCGGGCATTCGGCGTCCCTGTTTGCGCGGGCAAGTGTACTACTTCCATTCCATTGACCACTGCCCGAGATCAAATCAATCATGACGGGAACCACCATTTTACAAACCCTAATCTTATTCAATGCTTAATTTCACGAGTTCTTCTCCAAATAAATCCCAGATCTCATCGACTTCTCTTCAAATTCAACTGATCGCTCAAAAATTGGAAATTGGAATGTACGAGACAGCCCCTGCCTTGCCTTTTGATGGATCGAACCCATCTCCCAATTTCATCGCCTCAGAAATGACGACGCCGGCAATCCGACCTTTATTCGGTTCCATGGCTGCCAGCTCTGCCTCCGGCGGACAACACATTTTCAAAGACGGCCGGAGTTTAGCTATCAACACACCCAATTTCGATCCGATTCGCCTCTACGACGGAATCAAGACTCTCCCCCCAAATGTCAAGGACTATAAAGACTGGTATCGTCGGGTTTCCAAAGAATTCGGGCAGCAGTGGAAAAAACAGGGCATTGACAAGGCGATTCTCTTCTCCACCTCTTCGTTTCACATTCAAGAGGAATTCCTTACAGCCATGGCGTCCTTCTGGGACTCCGACAACAACGTCTTCCTCTTGCCCGATGGACCAATTGCACCAACCTTGCTAGACGTCGCAGTAATAGCAAACCTCCCCATTGTAGGAGAGGACCCCGTGCTGGGAGCCTTAGCCTTATCTACAGAAGAACCTCCAAAGAATCATCCGGGATACAATCTTCTAACTACCAAAATAGCCACTTGGAATAAATACCTACAGGCCCATCGACCATCTTACAAATCAGCAGTGTCGGAGGAAGAACACGTGGCTTTCTTACTATACTGGTTGAACCGATACGTGGTATGTCCTTCTTCTAAATGCATTTCGTTTACCCACCTTGATGTTGCAATTCATATAGCTTCGGGTAAATATCTTTCCTTGGGAAGTCTTTTTTCGGCGAATCTATACGAGGGTCTTTCTAAGACAAGTGCAAAACTGATAGAGAATAACAAGTCGGACACTGTCTCGTCGGGTCCATTTTGTTTTTTGGAGCTATGGTTTAAGTTATACTTTCCTAAATCGTTCTCTCACAGTCTGCCAGTGTATCCAGATACGAAAGATATGCTTGGTCCTAACCTCCTACGTTTTTCAAATAGCAGAAAAAATAAGCTGTCTTTACAGGGCACAATTCGGTCAATCCTGGAGTACAAACGATCTAATGCCGAATATTATCCTTACACAGTCTTCACACACTGCACTGAGCCCTTATGGCTCGTGCCTTCAATTCAATTTCCCTATTACATTCCAGAATTCTTTACCCCACCCGACTTACACTTATTTGTGGGACAGCGGTTTGAAACCTTGATCACTTTTTGTGAGCAAGAAAATCACTAGCAGAAAAAGAGTGTTTAAGTCTGTATTATATCAGCCTCAACTTGTAGCTCGACAGTTGGGATGTTGTCAAGGCAACCCTCGCGGTGTCTATGGGCCGAATGTTCTCTTTGGAGACGAAGATGGGTTGTTTACAGATTTTGGGTCCATTGCGACATACATTCGGGCATCGAATACCTACATAACTGCTAATTCTTACATTCCGTTTCATCAATCGCCTCAAACTGTGCATGATCTTCTTGAATGGTGGACAGCAATTTGGAATGTGATCGGAAAACCCGTCCAAGATTGTCTTCAATTGCTTTTCCCTTCAGAGAATGGAGGATTTCTTACATTGCCGATAAAAGACCGGCAAACCATCTCCCACTCAAGCCCGAAGGAAAAGAAAAAGAAAAAGAAAACAATGGACGATGACCAAATCTCCAAGAAGATCAATTCGGGGGTCAAGCACGCAGATATCCTACTGTCTGATCCAGGTTACAAGATACTACTACCTACGCTTTCGTTCAATTTTTATCCATTCAATATGTCCGTCTGTCTAACACATCTGATCCTTTTAATGTTCAGCTGATGTTCGTAGTGACGATGATGACGATGGCTTACCATTAGTCATTCATTCCAAGGGTTCTCGGAAAGAAAAAGGGCTTAGAAAACAACAGGTAATTATTTAAGCAATCAAAATGTTATTATACTGATAGTTGAGGCAGTGTACATATCATTCATTCCTCTCTTTTAAGTTTTAACTCAAACACTATGCAGCCTTTGCGGGACACAGTTAGAGCACACGAAAGCCCAATCCATTCCCAATCACTTATACGTTCTGCAGATGTCCAGCTGATTAACAACTTCGTCCAAGGCGCCGAAAGCTCACTCCAGAATGACACAAGAACTGACAATGCAAACTGCACACGACTGCAGGTACAATTCAAACCTCACTTCTTATAGCATTTCATATTCACAATGTTTCTTTCTAACAGACCTACTTTTCTTGTTTAAGCGACTACCTCCGGACAGCGAAGAACATCCTTCGGTTACACTTTCTCATCCACACCATTCTATTTTATCAAACGCGGCCAACATGAACCTGTTCAATTTAACCGAGACAAAGCTCGAGGAACTAACAGATACCTTCATGGAACTTCTGGAAGCATACAGGTCCGACCCTTGCATTGCACACCAACTTGATCGGTCATTAAACAGGGTGATCGAGCTAAGAGTTGACTCCGCGGGTTGGCTAAGAAGCTTGGAGTTTCAGGAAAGCACGTTAGCCGTATCAGATCCCGAATCCATAGAAAATTCCCTCAAAGTGGCGGAGGATCGCATGGAATGTGCTCGGACTGAGAGAGATGTTCTTCTATCGGACAGAGATTGCCTCGTGCAAGAAATCTCGCAAGAAGAGCGTGAATTGGAGCAAAGGCGCAAACGGCTCGAAGGCAAATTCGCGCGCCTAATGGATGTCGAAAAACTTTTGGAACAAAATTTACAGACCCTGGAAGATCAACAGTGTTTCAGCGCGGATCTTCGCAACGACTTGATTCAAAACCAACATTTGAGAAAGAAGAAAGAAAGAAGTCTATTGTTAGCAAAAACGCACAGGGAGCGAATGAATGAAGCATGGAAAGAAATTCAAACAATCATAAACAACCTCTTGGCATGATTCAATTTCATTTAATTTAGTTTGAATTCGTTTAATATTAAGGTAAAGATGAGAAAGAATAATTCGGTAGAGATGAAATCGTAATCGGAGAAAAATAAAGTCAAACTGGAGAATAATGATGTTAATATATATTTGGCAAAATTGTCCATAACTCCCATGTGGTTTCGAAACTCAACTTAAAGTAAATTCTCCATCTACTTTAAAAATTGCATGACGTTTTCTTATACTTTAAAAAATGTTGCATGAAACCACTTTATGGTTTCGAAATTCAGCATAAATCCCCATTTTACTTTAAAAAATTGCATGACGCTCATTTATACTTTAAAAAATATTGAATAAAACTCCTTGTCATGCAAAACATAAAGATAGGAAATCATTTTCTTATTACACGAGGAAAATTTCATGGTGGTGGGTTTCATGCAACGTTTTTAAAAGTATAAGGGGGTACTATACAATTTTTAAAGTATAGGGAGATTTTACGCTGAATTTCGAAACCATAGGGGAGTTATAAGTAATTTTACCTATATATTTTCTATTGTATATAAACAATTTGATATGGAGTATACTTTTTGTATTTCAATAAAAGTGATATAAGATATGAAAGAGACTAAAAATAAAAGGTGTGATATTATATGTTGAAGGGAGATAGTATAAAATATATATTAATGAATTATTATGTTAAATTATTAGATGTTATCTAAAATACTATTGAATTATAATAGTATTATACTAATTAGCTATTAAAAAAATAAAATTGAATTTGTGTATTAATAATAATTTTGATCGTGACATGTTCCTATTTGACTAAGGACAATCATTTTATTCGATAAAATTACCAATTATATGATTAATTTTGTAGTGAATTTATTATAATGAGTTAAAAATAATAAAGAAAATCAAGTAACTCAATATTTATCAATGGAGAGATTCAATTTAGAGCCGAAGACATTTGAGGATGATTGCGGTTACTTCCAATGTGTTAAAATGGCCGCACTCCATATCAAAATCAATTGGAGTAGCCATTTTCCCTTATAAATTAGAATGTTTTTCAATATTTTCCAATGTGGATACACACTTGACACAATAGCGACCGATGGCAATTCCATTTGCGACAAACAGCCGCTCCAGGCATCTCGTCGTTCCATGCCAGCATGGCCACCGGCAGCAGTAGTAACAGATCTAGCGGCTCTTGTTCCGGCAGCAACACGGCGGTGACGTCTCCACGGACGACTCTGTTCATTTTCTCCAGCAGCAACGGACGAGCAGTCCTCTTCGTTTATTTTATGTTTGCTTATTTTGTTTCTATATATAAGTTTTTGTTGTTACTTTTTAATTTAATTTGATTTAATTTTTAGCAACAAATTGGGAGTAGTTTTCTTTATACCAAAATGAATTTTATAGGTGTTGATGTATTTTTTCAACAAACAAAAAGTAAAATTCAAAAATATGGAAAATATCTTTAAACTTGATTAATTAGCGTCTGATATTAGGAATCTCTGAACACTGTACAATACATAAAGAAATTAACTGGAAATTAAAATGTTGAAAATTTAAAGTGGTGATCCCCGAATCTGACTTTGCTTTGTTGAAGTTGATTGAAGATAGCTGAAGAAGAAAAATCTAAATCCTTAAATACTCCCTGAGAAACTGTACTGGAAATCGTCGCCCGAACGGTTACAATGTCTCATTTTTAACCGTCTGCCAACCCTTCTCCTGCTGACACGTGTCCTCAGCAGACCAAAATCATCACTCTATTTCACTCTTTGAGCCGACCACAGACCTTCCGCCCTTTTGGCCCGACTGCCAATCTACAACCTTATTGGTCCGACTGCCAATCCTCCCGACTTGCAAACCATCCGACTTGTTTGGTCCAGCCACAAACGTCCCGACTTAAAAACCATCCGACTTGTTGGTCTAGCCGTAAACGTCCCGACTTAAAGACCATCCGACCTATCGGTCTAGCCGCAAACGTCCCGACTTAAAAACCATCCGACTTGTTGGTCTAGCCGCAAACGTCCCGACTAAGAGACCATCCGACCTGTCCCGACCTGAGGACTTTCCGACCTGTCCCGACCTGAGGACTTTCCGACCTGCAGACTTCCCGACCTGAGGACTTCCCGACCTGCAGACTCTCCGTCCTGATGACTTTCCGTCTTGCGAACTTCCCGACCTAAGGACTTCCCGACCTGAGGACCTCCCGACCTGCGGACTCTCCGTCCTGATGACTTTCCATCTTGCGGACTTCCCGACCTGAGGACCTCCCAACCTGCGGACTCTCCGTCCTGATGACTTTCCGTCTTGCAGACTTCCCGACCTAAGGACTTCCCGACCTGAGGACCTCCCGACCTGCGGACTCTCCGTCCTGATGACTTTCCGTCTTGCGGACTTCCCGACCTAAGGACTTCCCGACCTGAGGACCTCCCGACCTGCGGACTCTCCGTCCTGAGTTTCCCATGGTGCCCCTCGGCCAGTTCGATTAACTCGATTGCTTGGCTCATTCTTCTTTTTGCCTTGGGCTTTTTAACCTAATTCTAAATTTCATACGTAACAATAGGATAATGATAATTTAATATTACAAAAAGGATGTTAAAATTTCAGGTATTTCAACTATTTGTATTCATATTTTTGGTTTTGATGTATACAATGTTCTTTATATTATTTTGGATTTTTTTTTAATTATAAAAAAAATTATTCCTTAAAAGGATTTGTTTATTTGTTATTTGAAATATACCGAATATATTGTAGTAATAGTTTTATGTTGTACGTAAGAGGCAAACACTATTAATTGGAATTATAAAGAGTACTCATTCAATAATATGACTAAGCTATGAATTGTTGGAATTTCATTGAACACCATATAGAAGACAAGATATCTAATTTTGATCTTCAATTTAACAATATTGTATATTTAGTAAAGGCAATAACACCCTTAAAGCAAATTAATGAGTCAGTCTCTCGACACAAATCTCTTCAACAACAAGTCAATCACTACTTCGGTTACGTTAGGTATCCCAAGCTCCAATAAGTATGGTAAAACATGATTTTTTATCCATCCAATTAAACATGCATTAAATTAGTAAATTTAAATAATACATATATATATATATATATAAAGAGAGAGAGAGAGAAATACCCATATTCATCTTCATTTAATAGAATGTTTGTCTTCCTACCGTAGAAGTGAGAAATTCCTATCAAAGAAATCACCAACAACATCGACATAAGAAATTATTTTCGGAATCAAGGAGCATCCATATTTATTGGTACAAATATCGACTGAATTCTTCCCCAAAGCCTCAATGAATAGTTGTAAATTAAATTAAATGTATGATACACATGTAATTATTGATATCATCATCCTTAAATAAATTAAACTAATTCATTAATTAATATAATAGGAAATGGAAGAGTATTTAAAAGGTCACTTATACACATACACTCGTACAAATAGACACAATTGTATCAAGCATATGAAAACTATAATTGACAAATAAATACGAAAAAACATAATATTGCTACTTTTTAAATATACAACAATGAATAACGTCTTTGTTACTTACCAAGTCTCACATCTTAATTAATTAATTATAACTAAAACAATTAATAAATGATTAAAAATATGTAACACAAACCTTGTATTCTTGGAAGTGAAAGTACTCCAGAAAGTGCATAATAACATTATGTCTGTAACGATTTTTTGTGAGATAAAATAGTAATTTGGCTAAGAACAAATGTTACCGTCACTACTTGCTTCCAGCTGTTCAGATTACACAACAATGTTTGTACAACTTGTGCTCTGCAATAAATATATATAGAAGAAAATTATTGCACAAAGCCAAAGAATTGAATTACGAATGAAATTGAATTGAATATATGTATATATATATATATATAATGAGTTACCCACCCCATGTATATCCGATGTGTCAAAATGAAATCAAATAAAAACAAATGTATGTCTGATGTGTCAAAATGAAATCAATCTATATATTTGAGGTAAGGTCAAATAAATCAAAAGTTCTGCTTTGACAAATAACTCAAGTTCTTTATGATGGACATGGGGAAGTTGATATAATTCTCAATGTTAAAATTAACACGAGAATTCTTGATCAATATCGGCAAAAGGATGTAGTAATCCTTTTGCCGCTAAAATTGGATGTGAATCTCGTAGTTTTGAATTCCAAAACTGGGCATTGAGTATGGAATTAAAATTCCAACGGTTCAATATTATACATATATATAGATGTATGTATGAATATTATAAATAAAACCTATAGTTGTTTTACCAAATTGTCATGTAATTATTTGACTAAATTAATTGATGTGTTTGCGAAACACATGGTATGGCAATTATGGTGTCGTTAAAATTAATTTTGTATAAATTAATTTGTGAAAGGTTGGTTCGCAATTCTTTTATGAGAATTAGACATTAGTGATTATTTAATAATCACTTGGGCACACTTTAAGAATCGTCAAATATATTTTGACGGCGTACGTCAAATGCTTTAACAACAATAATAATTATTAAGATTATTATTTGTGCACAAAATTGAAAGAATATTTCGATGTATTATGAGAATGGCAAATCGCGGTTAGACGTGAAGTTGTTGTTTATCATTTGTAAAATGTTAGCGTTGTTAGAATTATCATGAAGCCGAAGCTTTGTATGTCGAATTGTATAGAGTGGAACCACTCAGATCCATTGGCCAAGAACTTGACATACAATATGTTATTTGGATGGTTAAAGTCCATTAGATTGTCTTAGCATGAGACACCCAATTCCCTCATAGCATTGCTGGGAGCTGAATTCAATGAGGAAAGCTAACGTTTAAAGGATTGGAACACACGTGATTTATTCATCCCAAATAGTGTGTTCGGACTTGCAAGAAAGTTAGGTTGAGGTTTAGGTTCTTAATAATTTCTTTGAAAAATCCTCATGCAGGGGCGAGATTAAAGAAATTACCTAAACGAACATGAAGTTTGCCGCTTCAAGAAATGCTAGGGACTTGGCTTTCGATATGTTCGTGAATGGATTGGGACACATGACTTGTAAAGTGTCAACTGTAAATTGTT